GATAGCAGAATATTATTCCAATATGGCCGCCTTTATAACACGCAGTCCATCGCCGACTAATAAAACTGTAGAAAACTCTGGACAAATAAAAGAAAACAGGAATGTTATTTTTCTTTTTCGAATAATCTGAGATCTCATTAATTTCATCTATTTGAACAAAGGTTTCATAGAAATTGTTAAAAAAATTTGATTGAAAAGTAAAAAAATTTGTAAATCCCATAAAATTTATTTGGGGGGTATTTTCCAAACTAGTCGGGTATATTAGGCCTCCGTTTGACACCCATTTTTTATCTCATTTCCATTCTCATTTTTCTACAGTACTCATTTCTAACCACACATTCTTCAAATAAAATAATATTACACATAAACTCAAAAATTCTTCCTACTTTTTAACCACACATTCTTTACATCAAACACTATTCAAAAACTAAACAATGATCTTGCACAAGGCTTCGTAGCCCCCAGAAGAATGTAATTTTATATATTGATTCAAAGTTAGATTTGCCTTATTTAGTTCGCCCCCCATGCAACTCATATGGAAGTAAATTTATTTTAGTACAAAATTTTCCCAACTATTTAGAAATTCATGCGCCTCAATCAAATTGGGGCAAATTCGAAGAAATGCAAATTAACCTTGGGAAAGTAACGTAATTACATAGGAAGAGAATAGAAAAGCCACATTTATCATAATGGAAACAAGAATAACACTTCAAACAAGTTCAGGCTCACGAAATTAAGTTCTTGAGATGCTTTCCGATAACAAATTAAAACAAAAATTCAAATCATAAATAAGCATACCTATGTAGAGTTAAGTAGTAGCACAGTAAGAAAATTGAAGGGAAAACAAAAGGAAAGATGAAGAAAAACCTGCTTCGCGGAAGAGAGATGTGATTCGGGTTGAAGTTCGCCACAGATAGCAGAATATTATTCCAATATGGCAGCCTTTATAACGCAGTCCAACGCCGACTAATAAAACTGTAGAAAACTCTGGAGAAATAAAAGAATGTTATTTTTCTTTTTCGAATAATCTGAGATCTCATTAATTTCATCTATTTGAACAAAGTTTTCATAGAAATTGTTAAAAATTTTGATTGAAAAGTAAGAAAATTTGTAAATCCTATAAAATGTGAGCATTAAAATTGAAATCTGATGAGTGAAAAAGTTGGTAAAATTTTATAAAACAAACATACTCTCATTTTTTAAAATTCATTTTTTCTTTCAAATATATTTTCGACTACACATTTTTTGGATTTAAAATTTTTATTAACTTTTCATTTAAACATTTCATCATTTTTTATTAAAATCTACTAAAAATGTATTATATTATCTAAATCAAATAGGGATTTAATATAAGTAATTAGAAAAAATAAATTCAAATAATTATTTGAATATTGAAGTTGTAATTAAAATATTAAACAATATTGAATAGGACAACGAAAGTTTAAAATTGATAAGTGTGTTTTACACGCTTAATCATACATAAAAAAATTGACAAATAAATGTTAATTGAACAAATTTCTATTTAATTTAGTATAAACATAATAATGAGTTATTAATACAAAAACATTCCCATTCTTTGCTTGTTGTGAGCAAATTATCATTATCATTTCGTTGGTGCAATAGACCCTCAAATTGAATAAATATTGTGCACAACGTCCTTATCGTCCAATTTCTTAATTATAGCATTATAAAACGATGAATTTGCCTACCTCCTTAAATAAAGAAAAAGAAAAGAAAGAAAAATAAAATCAATTTCTTCTTCAATTAATCTCACCTACCCCTGCCCAACCACCACCTCCACCTCCACCCACCCCTACTCCCCCCCCTTCATCGCGACCATCACCATCTCCATTACCACATTTCCCTCTCCAAAAATTGGAGCACTAGCAGCTTTCTCTATATTTATATTGCTAGTAGCTTCGACTATGTTAGATTAGGCTTGAAAAAAGAGAGTAAAAGGCTAGTTTTCAGCTATTTTTTTCACAAGTTAGAGCCTGTTTGGTGCACATTAAAATGAGAGAATGCATTTTTTTAAAATGATGTGATGGAAAATATGTGGTTGAAAAAGAAAGAAAAATTATTGATGTGATGTAAAATATTATTTTATTGAAAAATGTGTGGTTGAAAATGAGTAGAAGAATGGAAATGAGAAAAATAATGTGGTCCAAGCAGGGGCTTACTTTTTAAAAGTAAATTTTTACATTGATTTTAATTTTTTTTCGTCTTCTTGTTTATCTCGCTTTGCTTTGTAACTCCATTTCTATGGCATTGTTTTTGATAATGATGGATATCAGGATTGTTTTTAATTCTGCAGTATCAGTGACATCCTTCACCTTGTGGATTATTCCTATCTCTGTCATTATAGAAATATTGAAAGGAGCGGAAAGAGAAATGTGGTGGTGGCGACAACGATGATAGAACGTTGATGATGACGTGGAAGGGGAAGGGGAAGGGGAAGGGTGGGTGGGGGGTGGTGGTGGTGGAAGAAGGTTGGGAGGGGTTAGGTGGGATTGGTCGGAGAAGAAATGGATTTTATTTTTATTTTTTATATTTCTATTCTTTTTTAAGTTGTTTAGATCCAAACTTGTTTGCACTTTCAGAAAAATTTAGGACTATAGCCACAATTATTTTTTCTTTTCTTTTTGTTTATTTAAAGAGGACGGCAAATTCATTTTACAATGCTTTAATGGAGGATTTCTATGCCAGGGATTTTTTTGGACAACATTTTGCTTGATCCGAGGGTGTATTGACCAAAATGAAAGATTAGGAATGATTTGTGCAAAATTGGCAAATGATAGGTGTGTTTTGTGTCAATTGCATCCCATATGATATTGTAGGCAAAACTCTAATTTGAAGACATTTGGAACAAAGTCGAAGGTTTTTTTAGCTAATTTGGAGTTGGTTAGGATTGCATGTGAGTGATGAGAAGAATTAAGAGGACAATCAAAGGGAAGTTACAAATTTCGAGAATGAAATTTAACTTCAAAAAATTTTGGAGACTGATTTACACATTTTCAAAACTTGCGAAGGACCACTTTCGGATGATTATGAAGGTTCGGGACCAATGGAAGTTGTGGGAGCAATATTGAAGAATTGGATAAAAGGATCAAAACGAGCGAAAACTTGAAATGGGGACCAAAACATGATATTTTAAAACTTAAAGTAGATCGAGCGCCATTAACCTTGGTTTCGGCCAAGTTTGCTGCAATCCGAGCCGCGGTACGTGGACCACAGCCCACTATGCAAAACAAAAGGTGCTATTCTATTTTTTTTTCAATGAATTTTTTGCACATTTTGAGGCACGACTCCTAGGACACTTCCACCACTATAAAAAGACATCTTCTAGGTCAAAACAAGGGAAATAGAAAGGGTTACACAATATATTTTTAGAAAGCAAAAGGAGAAAATACAAGAGAAAAATAAAAAAACTAAGGGGCTGTTCTCTTTGTATTTTAATTTTGTATTTTTAGTTTTGAATTCATTTTTGATTTTATGTTTTGAGTGTCTATTTTGAGATTGTTGAAAATATGTCATATTTGGTATTTTGAAAAAAAAAATGAAATCCCGTTTACCTTCTCCCCTCCCCTCCCCTCTCGCTGTGAACTAAAGGGAAACCCAAACACTGATTAGGAAATTGGTCAACACGCAAGTTAAAACGGCAAGGAAAGCGAGGGAGATGGAATTGAATGTGAGGGAGAGGGAGGAGCTGAAGAAGAAGGCGATTTGAGCAAAAATGAGAGCAAACCAGACTGCGAAGAAGGAACCGGAGTTAAAATTGATGGAATTGAGGATGTAGGCTATCATGAGGCCGACAGTGAAAGTGCCGACGACAGGGGTTCCACCAAGGTCTAGGAGGAAGACGACGGAAATTAAATGATTTCTGACATATCAACTGAATTGACCGTTTGTAGCCTACCTCACGTCATATCAATCAGTCAGAACTTGACTTTAGAGATCTTTGAAAAGATCTTGATAGGGGGTGGCGAGATGGACTGTGAGATGTGTCGAGTTCAGAGTGCGAGCCTTTGCATCCGTCGTTGCTGATGGATGAATTCGATGCTTCCACTAGGTTCAACTCGTTTGCATGGGTTCAGTTCGTGCTTGTAGGTTCAGTTCATCCGCGTGGATTCAGTTCGTCTGCCATGTGGCACTCCCGACCAGCTCGGCTACACGTGGCGGGTGAGGTGGAGGGCCTCAGATGGCCCGTAAAAATATCTAAAACAAAGGATAGAATATTCTACAAATATCATTTGTAGTTTGTTGTGAAAATGGAAAAAAGAAAAATACAACATATTTAAAACATTAAATCCTTATTTGGTGGAAATTAAAATCAAAATCAAAATCAAAATTTTATTCTCACTAACAACTAATTTTAATTATATGTTTCATGTGATTCATAACTTTTCAAAAATACATTTTATCAACTTTTATCAAAATAATTGAACAAATAACATGAAAGAGAATTATGATTGGTATAAATAGAGAGAAAAAATGGAAGGGGGACGACGTTCATGTTGAGACTTTTAGGACTTCCCTTTAAAACTTAAAACTCTGCGAAGGTATTGGTTGTAGAATTTTTTATTTTTTTTTCAATTTTAGGCCGGCTGGCTCGTTCTGACCGGGATGTCGGAATCTCTTGCCCTTGCCTGGGTCGTCGTGGGAAATTTACACCACTACCCTTTTCCCACATATGTGTACACGTCAGAACAAGCCTGGTTTCCTATTATTGGGGCATCACAGCTCACATAATCAGACGTATTTTGCATGAGAAATATTTTTCAATGAATCTGAGGCCCGCCCACTTGTGGCTAGTTTAATTAATCCACAATCAAGATATATTTGATATATCAGACAAACAAACACTAAAGTTTAAGTCTTCAAAAACCATCCAGCATTTTTCTATTCCTTAAAATTTCCATAAATCCTCCTATCAGAGCAGAAATTTAAGGCTTTAACAGAAGCATGTTTAAAGGCTATCGTTAACACTCTCATTCATCACCATGCCAGGGCCAGGCAAGAAAGGAGAAGTAAGCACACCCTCCAAGTCATTTCTCTTCATTTATTAATTGCATGGCTGATCATTAATCTGCATTCTAAAGGTCATGTGGCCGAGGTTGGTGGTTAGCAAGATCCTCAATAAGAGATTGGGGAGCAATAATTTTGTTGCAGATTTTCCAAGCGACTCGGAATCTAATTTCGTCAAATTTCCCAGTTTCCCCTCGAAATCTTTAAGTTGTAGCAGCATTCTGAACGACCGTGTACGCTCAGAAAACTACAAGTAAGAACTGAGAACAGTACTAGTACTTAATGTTTTAGAAACTATATCGAGCATGTGTGTTATTTTATCCTATTTCTTTCCGAAAGGATTTTTGTCAGTACATGGAATGTTGGGGGAGTGGAACCAGCAGAGGACTTGAATATGGATGAGTTGCTAGACACGTGCAATATTTGCGACATCTACGTTATTGGGTAACTTGTTATTCAACAATAGATTTAAAACCAGAAATAGCTATATACATACTTTTGGAATAATTTTCTTTTACTTTTGTGTTATGATTTTAATTAGGTTTCAAGAAGTTGTGCCTCTGAGAGCAGCAAATGTGTTAGGACCTGAAAATAGCAAGATTTCCCTCAAATGGAATTCTCTAATTAGAGAAGCCCTCAACAAGAAATCATTCAAGAAAGAAGGAAAGTCTACTGAGAGTAGTAATCAGTACGAGTTCCGGTGCATCATTAGTAAGCAAATGGTCGGAATATTGATATCGGTCTGGATTCGTACTGAGCTTCGATCATTTGTTCGAAACCCTAATGTTTCATGTGTAGGCTGTGGAATCATGGGATGTCTAGGAAATAAGGTATCAACTCTATTTTTTCATGTATAATTCCTCTCGTCTAAAAATCTCAGATGTCAAAGAACGTTGCACGTTTCCATTTAAATCTTATATTCAATAGAGTAAAATATGTCGACAAATTGTTCATCAGGATGTAATCTTATTCATCATGTTTTGATTACAAAAATTTGCATCGCAGGGTTCAGTCTCGGTAAGATTTCGATTACATGAGACGAGTTTCTGCTTCGTGTGCAGCCACCTTGCATCTGGTGGTAGAGAAGGCGATGAGAGGTACCGGAATTCAAATGCAGCCGAGATATTGTCCCGCACAAGCTTTCCTAGAGGCTCATCACTTGATTTGCCTCAAAAGGTTCTCGATCATGAGTATGTTTTTTTTTTTTTTCAGATCCTTCGTTACAATCCAAAATGATCCGTTATTCAAATGTCTTTTTGCTAATTAATTAACCACATGATGCATGAGAGATTGCGAATCAATTAGCGGTATAACAACTAATTATTCCTTATTAATTAGCCTAAATGATGTCGTTTTCGATTCGAGCCACCTTTAAAATAGAAATCAACTTTTTACCAATATATTTTAATTAATCTAATATAGTTGCTAAACCGTCTTAATAAAGTTCGATTTCTATTGGTAAACTAAAGTATTAATTATGATAAACAAAGTTAATATGCTTTCTTAATTAATTAGTTGACTTCTGATTACTGTTCAAAACTAAATTACATTAAAACTCTTTCTCTAACTACAGTGCTAATTATTAAAAAAAGCTAGAATTTACATGCAAGTTGATTAAGGTCTATCATAAATAAATTTATTTATTTATTTATTTGGTGCAGTCGAGTGATTTTTCTTGGAGATTTGAACTACAGAATCTCATTGCCTGAATCAGAAACACGATTATTGGTAAAAAAAGGAGAATGGAATGCACTGCTGGAGAACGATCAGGTAATTATATATACCCACCACTTTCGCAACTTGTACAGATTTTATGTTTATATATTAATTGATAATGACCTAAATTTTCGTCGATTTCTCCATGATAATAAAGCTAAGGATGGAACTGAAGGAGAGTCAAGTTTTTGAAGGTTGGCACGAAGGAGCCATAGAATTTGCTCCTACATACAAATATTATCCAAATTCTGACCAATATTATGGTGAATTTGAAGGCAAAAGTGGCGAAAAGAAACGTGTTCCTGCATGGTAATGGACCTATCCCACAATTTAATTACTGATGATGAGACATATATAACTATATATTAGACTGTTTAAAAACTGTCATTGCATACGTACGTGAAAGATTGAGTCTTTGGCAGATTAAAAGGGAAAGCACGACATCAATAAATTAATATTAAGAAAGCTGTATGTTTGCATTTTGGGTAGGTGCGATCGGATAATTTGGTTTGGGGAAGAGTTGAAGCAACATTCATACGAAAGAGGCGAATTGAAATTGTCAGACCATAGACCAGTGAAAGCAATTTTCAGCACACAAGTTAGAGTGACACACAAATTGAAAGAGCTTCAAAATTGTTTTTATTCGGAGAGATTTGAGCAAATTGCTAGTCGATTAAACTTTCCATGCAGAGACTGTTTCAGCTTCCATGCCAACGACATATGAATCAGATTTTGAGACATCATATGTGAACAGCGTTTTTCAATTAACTATGTATATATATATATATATATGCCCCATGGTGTACAACTTGTGCATGTTGCTATTGCAAAGGATATACCATTATAAGCTATTGTATTCAATTCATATGCTGATTGTGTATGCAGTGTTTTTGACCTAACTAGCCTATCTTTTTCAGTAGATTTTATAAAATGAGAGGCTCAATTTGGTCCAACAACTATAATCCAAATTTAGCCCCTGTTTGGTGCACATTTTGAGTCAAGAATGCATTTTTTGTTTGATGTGATGGAGAATATGTGGTTGAAAAAGAATGAAAAGTTATTAATGTGATGGAAAATATTATTTTATTCAAGAATATGTGGTTGAAAATGAATTTTGAAAAAATGAGAATGAAAAAAATAATATGGCTCGAACAGGACTTAATGAAATTTTCAAGTTGATTCTTTCAAAATGGGTTTTGTGTGCAATATCCCGTACATGTATGTGACCCACCATTATACTTACAAAAAAGGTTGTGTCCAAATCATTGGCACCAATGGCTATGAAATAATTTGATTGGACAACATTAACCAATCCATGTAGAGAAATCATTTTAATTTATATTGGATAAATTGATGAGGCATGGTAACGTATGAGACATGGGCTGATGGGTACATAATCCATAATATCCCAAAGAAGAATATTTTATTGATAAATAATTCATAAATCATAGCTATTTTTTTCTTGCAGAAATAATAGACAAAATTGGATAACTAGGTTAGAGTGGTCCAGAGATCTACGGGTGGAATTTGTCTATATTAAATTCTAAATTTTCGAGTTGGTGGATGTCGACTATTTCTTTTTTATATATAAGATAAGAAGGTAGTGGTGAAAGGATGAGAATTTCGATTGGTTTATTTTATCAACTTTATTTTCGTTAAATCTCTTTGTAAATATGAGGTAGCGATCTATATGCAAAAATATTGCGATTGTATATATTGCGCAATGTATTGAATTTGTATTATTATTTACCGTAATAGTCCGTCTAGCTTCATTTTATGTTACAAGAAGTTACACGCACGTGAAAAATAAGAGAAATTCATGCAAAAAAACAAAAAATAGTGCAAAAGAAAGGCTTTAAATCAAAACATCGATCTTAAAGTTGTCTCTTGATCATCTTTCCATTGTGAAAGAACTTCGATGAAGAAAAATGCTTCAATTTGAGAAAAGAAGTCGAATAATCTAATCTTCGAACTTTCTAGAAATAATACATAAATCAAATAAGATTTTTATTTAGTAACATGTTTTATGTTTTTAAATTGATTTAGGAGTATTTTAGATTGAATTCCTTGCATGGCAATATGCTAAAAATAAATCTTTTCAAGGTTTAAAAATAGTAAAGGGCGACAATATTCAAGCTTCCTAGCTTGGCATAATATAACGTCGTCGAAGCTAGAAACTTTTCATGGCTGCATGTCGTGAATGTTGTCCAAATTTAAGGGTATTGTTCGCTTAAGCCAAATATTACTCAGGTTGATTGCTAAAAAGAAAGAATCGACGTTGCTTAAGCCAAATATTAATATTCTTTATTAAACCGTGGTAGAGATTTTTCTTCGTTTTCTAATTGCAAGAGGCGCCGACGTTGTGTTAAGGGAAGGTCCATATGGATGTCAAAGTCACAGCATCGCTCATCCACAACAAGTTGAGACCTATTCTAATGTAAACTTATCATTCGTGCAATACGTAAGTGTAGGACTCTTCTTCCATTTTCTTCTGTCTATCCTATCATGTTACTTTCCATTTCTGTCATGTTCCATCATAGTAAACCCAATTAGACTTCCATTTTTGTCCTCGTGAAATTTTGTCCACATATTCAATATATTTTCTAACATGGATATTTACAACTTGATTTTAAATATAGGTTGGGCAAGTGGACAGGCAACTCTATTTCTATTTTATGCTTCTAGTAACATGGCCTATGTCATATGCTACTCATATTGACGTACCCTAAGTTAAAATTCATCAACTTGACAATTCTCAATTGTATTGACTAACATTGATCGATATCTAACATCTAAGACAGTATCAGGTTTCAAGATTTTTTATTTTTTAAATTATATATGTTAACACATAATGTACATTTGTAACCGCCTTAATTATCGTTCTTCAATGTTAGATAAACTACTTTCAAAGTCCTAATTATATTTTAATGTATTAGACAAAAAATAAAGACACTTGTGCATCAAATTTGACTCGGTTTACATTTCAATAGGTTTAGGACCAAGGTTTACAACTAGACTACCATCATTCTTGTTTAAAGATAGTCGAGCAATACTAAGGTCAACTTGCATGGTAGTAACAACACGCAAACGTGCAGGACTTCCATCGTTATTTAAAAGATCGGTTGTGCTGTACGTACATAATTGTTTACATACTAGAGTCAATAATTTTATATGAGGAACTAAGTGATAGAAAGGATGGAAATCTAGAATGGGCTACTTAATCAAGAGCCCTTTCCCATTCTGGCAAGGTAAGAGATAGGGTTTTCTTACTCATTTTGTGTGTGTTTCATATATAAGGGAGCTTGAGTGTTCAAGTTTTGTGCATAAAACTAATTTGTCCTAAACAATTCTTATTTGATTTAACTATTTGTGCAAGTGTTAACTTGTGTGCCATTCTTGTAACTGTCACCTATCATCTGACACTTCATGAAACGGAGACTGAGCCCTTGTCTTTTATGACATTTGGAAAGTAATTTTTCCTTTATGTCTAGTTTTCCCCATCAAGTTGAAGAAGCTATGAATGACTTTGATTTATTATTACTTTATCGATTTGATCTTTTAGAATTGGCTTTCAAGTTAGTAATCTTCGTTTCAAATTGAAAATAAAAGAAGTCTATTCCTTCTTTGTACATGCAAAACTTCTTTTATTAGGATTCAATGTAGTTGAATAAATAGGTACTTGGGAACATACAGATGGAATGAACGAAATACGAAGAGTCAACATAATATGGTCATAGAATTCTTCTACCAAAAGAAAAAAAAACTTTCCCACTCCCTTTTTGGACACCTCTCTGTATGTACAAATAACATTATTCTTAAAGGATAACTATGTTAATTCATATTCACACAATATATGATCACAATAACCTACAATAGTCACAAAATACAACACTAGTCACATATATCAGTATTTGTCATAGAAATTGAAAATTACATGTTACAACACTGCTGTATTTGTCACATATTACAGCACTAGTCACAGAAAACAACAGTGGTTACAATCAGCAAGGTTATAAATCTGAAATTGAAATAAAAATAAAAATAAAAATAGAATCTATCACAAATTGAATAAAGTATACATAGAAGTTCACAAATAATATACAGCGTTCACAAAATTCACAATCGCTTATAAGTATGTTGATAGATGTTGATACAGGGAAAATAGATATTTTACATAGCTGCGTGACCTAAAAATAAGTTGGAATGAAAGTGTAATCGCTTGACAATGAAATATGGAGATTCGAGATCACCAATTCACTCAACATGTTTTGGAAACTCCAATCGGATGAATCTCGGGAATCCTCATTGCGACCTATAAATTGAAACGTGGTGTTGATGAAGTATAATCATGAATTATGGCCAATAAGATGAATTTGTGGAGATTTAGTGTGTGTTTGGTAGGGATTTTTTGGGGGAAGAATTGATTTTGAATAGTGAAATGATGGAAAATGTGTGGTTGAAAAAGAAGATAAGATTATTGATGTGATAGAAAATATTATTTTATTGAAGAATGTGTGGTTGAAAATGAGAATTGATTTACTGTTGAAAATGAGAATTGGTACCAAACATAAGAGTGAAAAAAAAAATTGAGTTGTATTGTCAGAGAGAGAATGAGAGGTAGGAGATTAATTGGGGTGAGAGAATCTGTTTTAAAAATAGAGTAATGTTATTCATTTTCAGTGGAGTTACAAACACAGTGTAGATGACTTTAAATTATAGGTTAAATGAAATGTGAAATGAAATAATTTATTTAATTTCACATATCATTTAATGTCACATTAATGCCACCTAAATTGCGGTTAAGTCATTTAATTTCATTTTTCATTTAACCTATCATTTAAAGCCATCTACACTGTGTTTGTAATTCCAGTGAGGATGAATAGCATTACTTTTAAAAATATAAAATAATTGCTTTATTTTAGGATATATCATTGATGGTTAATTATGCTTATTTAAATTGTACTTTATATATATATATATATACACACACACACACACACACTCAAACTAATTAAAATACAAACTAATATTATTGTATAATATTTAGTTTCCTTTTTTGTTTACTTAGTTTGTAGTATATAAACTTATTGTAATTTATTTTGCCCTAATTTTTGGAGGCTTTTACAATCGATTTTCTTCCTTCATCTCTTAGTTCTTCTCCCTTGTTTGATTTATCGAATTAGTTTGTATTATTCACATGGTATAAGAGCCCACCTCAAGGATGTATAGCTGGGTCTTTGATTTTTTCTGATTTTGCTTCTGTCAGTTGTGTAGCAGAGCTTTCTGAGTTGATTTCAATTCTGGGTTGAGGAATTTCCATTCAACGAGTTCTTCAACGATTCTGCAGCGGGTTCTTCTTCAACAGTCACGAAAGAAAATCAATTAGAATTAAAGTATGCTTAGATTAATTTGAATTGGAAAATTCAAGAAGTGGAGTCTCTTTTTTTTAAAAGAGAAAAGTTGGCTGCTTTTGGAAATTAAAAAAAGAGAAAATTGTCGGTTGAAAGTGGAAGGAAGTGGATTTCTTTTTGAACTCTTATGGGGTGGTATTTAATTGTGACTTTTGAAGACTTGATTGACTTTTTTTAAGCGATGACTTTTGTAGATTTCGTGGATTTTTTAGAGATTTGTATGAAATTAGTGAAAGTCTTTTGTAAACTTATAAGCTTTCATTTTAAAACTTTTAGAGACTTTTGTAGAATTCAAAAGACTTTTGAAAACTTT